TTGCCTTTCCTTTATATTTTTTTTTTTTTCATTTAGTCTTAAAACTCAATGTATTCCTGTGTCCAGACATCTGGGTAAACATGAACTCATCTGGGATCAGGCATCCTGCCCCCAAGTTGCCTTCTGGGTGGGCTGAAACTACCAGGATCAGGCACTGTTCTCTAAGCCACCTTTTGGGCTAGCAGAAGTTTTCTGGGACCAGGAGCCTTACATCCAGCTGCCTTTTGGCAGAGCAGGAACTTCTGGGAGCTGGGGCACAGTGTCAAGCTGCATTTTGGGCCAGCAGAAACTTTTTTTGGGACCAGACACCTTGCCCTCAGCTACTTTTTGGGCTAGCAGGAACACCTTTTGGAAGTAGGCACCTTTCTCCCAGATGCTTTTTGGTCAGCAGGAACTTTTTCCAGGTCCAAGAGCCTACGCCCAGACATGCTCAGGGCTTGCAGTGACTTTATCTGGGATCAGATGCCCTGCTCCAGCTGCCTTCTAGGTAGGCAAGAACTAGTTCTAGAACAATGTGCCCTGCTCCCCGCAACCCCCCCTCCCAAAAAAACAACTCAGTGTATTGTATCAATTGATGAATAGATAAATAATATGTTATCTATCCATATAATGGGATATTATTTGGTCATAAAAAGGAATGAACTATTGGTTCATGTTACAACATGGATGAACTTTAAAAATATTATGCTTAGTGAAAGAAGTCAGTCACAAAAGGCCATATATTGCATGAGTCTATTTATATGAAATGTCTGGAAGAGGCAAATCCACAGCAAAGTACATTAGTGCTTGCCATGAGTTGGGGAGGAGGGGTCGCAGGGGGAGTGACCGGAATGTTCCACAGTTATATAAACAGCGACAGATGCAAAACTCTGTGAATATACTAAAATCACTGAACTGTGTACTTTAAACAGGTGAATGTTATGTGATTTGAATTACATCTCAGTAAAGACATACAAAAAATGACAGGGGAGTTAGAGACACTATACAAGCTTTTCTAACTCTAAAGCAGATAAGCAGATGATAGCAATAAAATAAAAGATTTTATCACCTCCCTCACTTAATTCTTCCATCTCTTCTCACACATCTAATCCCATCTTCAATGCTCTCTAGCAGACTATACAATCCTAACATCCACTTGACCCATTTCTAAGTCCTCAATTAAATCCATACCACTAGCTCTGGTAGCATAGTGCCTATAGCACTTGACTGCTAACCAGAAGACTGGAGGTTCAAACCCACCAGCCACTCCTTGGAGGGAAGACTGGGCAATCTACTTCCATAGTGATACTGCCTTAGAAACCCAAGGAGGGGTCCCTATGAGTCGGGTCCTACTTGACGGCACATGACAATGACTACAGCAATTTTCTTTGAAGAGTATGTAGAAAAAGCCATTAACTAACTGGATTTTTAAGGTTAAAACTCCGCCAGGAAGGAGAAAGACAATTATCCAGTGGTGTTCTCTGTGTGGAAGCAATGTCCAGATTATTTTATAGTACAGCACAGAACGAAAGAAGCTTGTTCCTGAACTTTTTAAATACTTGGTAGCTAAACAAGATTACAGCTAAGACGCATACACCTTTCAAAGGGCTCACCTCAAGACTGGTAGATGCAGGAGAAATTGTTGCAATTATAGATGTTCTTGTACGTCCCCCAAGAGAATCCTGGAGAATTCTAGTGAGTTTGGATTCTCGATAAGGAACATGTGGTGTTCTTTCCACAAGAGCAGTAATAACCCTTCCCAGAGTCAACAGAGATTGATTGATATTTCCAGCTTCCCGAGCTCTCTTGTCAACTGCTCCAGAACGGCCAATGTTTTCACTGCCTGCAAGATCAACCTTTAATTTAAAAAGTAAAAATGAATTGTCAGTCTACTAGAGTTGGACTTGGAGACTTTCACTCTCATACTACATGCAATGTTACTGAATTATATATATGTCATATATATTATATGGGAGCTCTGATAGCATAGTGGCTACGGCACTTGACTGCTAACCAGAAGGCTGGCGGTTCAAATGCACCAGCCACTCCTCGGAAGGAAGATGGGGCAATCTACTTCCGTAGTGATACTGCCCTCGGAAACCCAAGGAGGGGTCACTATGAGTTGGGTCCGACTTGACGGCAAAACAACCACCACATATATTATATATAAAATATATATGCTAAATAGGCAACAAAATACCAGATTAAAAGGATAACTACAACCTCAAAAGGAAATTTCTTCCCCAGTGTATTAAACAGCCAACAAAATAACCTCTATAATTATTATATTTTATAATATTATAATATTTACAATTTATAATCTTATAATTATATTATCATTTCTTAATAAATTTCTTCTCCTACAACAAAGCTACCAATGACTACAAAAATACTGCCTAGAGGGGCAAAATTTCAAGGTGCTCTATGAGTGGTCAAGAATGAAGCAATGATACTAAAGTAGATGCTTACCAAGTTTAATTTTCCAATTTTAACAAGCTCCTCTCCATCAATTGTAGTTTCCTTCATATGTATTGTGACAGAGAAAACTGAGTGTGAACGACTAGAAAATAAGATGGAGTTGCCTAGTCATTATAATGCAAAACATTATTTGCTTTCAACAAAATATTCCAGATAGCAAAGGAAGATCTAAATCCACAGAGCAGAGAAAGATACCAGACATGAGATACCAAGATATGTGTGTGTGTGTGTGTGTGTGTGTGTGTGTGATTTGGGTAGAAACTAATAAGATTTTTGAAGGTAGACAGAACAATGCTGAGGATTTTGCTTTCTCCTAACGGCACCTTGTAGAGGATACCCCAGTAAGAATCTACCTGAAAACTACATAGAGCCCAGAAAGAGTTAGGAACTAGAATCCTCAAATATCTCTGAAAGCTAGACGTGGGGTAGGGTTGGGGCAGTTGTGTAAGAAGGGATCTGTTAGAAGTGAAGGAGTCTGAGGCCCTAATTGCTCCTTATACATACTTACACTGAATCCTATTCATAATATAACCCTTGAAATACATCATAACCATAAATTCAAGCAGGACCACCAGGCAAACCATCAGATTAGTCCCTACTGTCAAACTACACTGCTCTTTGAGAATGCCATGAGAAATGTGTAACTCCTCCTCCTGACCATCAGAAACTAAATAGCAATGGTTTTAAAACTCTACAAGATAATCACAACTAGACTATGAAACGTTCAAAAGTCCTTATACTAAATACTGACATTCAGCTTTTAACTGAGGGAAAAAAAAATTATATAGACCAAAGACATCTTTCCTTTCTGCATGAATGACATTTGGTGAACACCATTATGTTTGTTAACATATTTTTGTCAAAAACAAAACATATTTTTGTCGTTAATGGTTCACTGATTTTTTAACTTTCTTCTTTGCACTTTCCATATTACTTGGAAAACTTTATACTCAGCATTTTTTTCAAACAAAAAGATTTTTTTTAATTACAGAATTTTATTGTAGAATTAAAGAAATAATGTAATTAAGCATAGAAGTCAATTCTGACTTTGGAAAACTGAAATCAACTTTTGTCTTTATCACATAAATTCACAAAAGGAGAACTTTATTCCATTCTGCATACAAGAAAAAAGGAGTCCTAAAGTAGGTAGTGTAGTGCCTAAGGCACTTGACTGCTAACTAGAAGGCTGGCAGTTCAAACCCACCAGCCACTCTTTGGAAGGAAGATGGGGCAATCCACTTCCGTAGTGATAATGCCTCGGAAACCTAAGGAGGGGTCGCTATGAGTCGGGTCTGACTTGATGGCACATAACAACAACCACAAAGTATACAAACGTATGGAATAAGGAGAATTTTATATTTTAGATCAATATAGTTAAAGAAAAGAAATTTTACCTAGTCTTCAATTCATTCCCCCAAATTCTATATCAAATTTACAAATCAGAGAAATTTCCCTCTTACTGAAAAACCGTTGTAGGGAAATTTTAATTAAATTTTTGAAATCACCCATAATTCCATTATCTTAATTACTCTCATACTATGCTATTTTTCTTCTTTCTTTAAAGAAAATTATTTTACATAGTTGCAATTATAACTGTTATAGCATTTTATAGAAATTTTCAATAATAATGAACCAAGAAACAAGTCATTTAGTCCTTAACAATAATTCTGTAGCTCAGAGAAACTGATGTTCAGATAAGTTCACCTTGTTGCCCCAAGTCCCATATTTAGTTAACTGCAAAGCTGGAACTAAACACAAACATCTAACTCTCAATCCATTGCTCTTCCCATTATACTCTGACGTTTCTTTCAAAGACCAACACAAAGAAACTAGTGTCTTAGTAAACCGCTTTTGTGGAATTTAAGATTCATCCTACAGAGATGCTGTCAAGTATGTTCTTTCCTCCCCATGAAAGACAGTTAGTGACCCATCTATCTTCCTACATTAAAATGAAGCTATTTTATAAAATAAAGCCATTTGACTTTCTTCTAAATCTTATTCAAGCCAGTGGTTTTCACACTATTTAAGAACCCCTAGACACTCCAGAGAAGTGCCTCAGCGGCCACCTTCAAAAAGCTGAAGAAGTAAGCCACTGACCATCCCCAAATCAACTACAGCAGCTTCGTTATCAATCTGTCCTGCACACTGGGCTCCCAAGAACAATTTCATTTGAAAAAAAGATTTCTGGTTTAAAAGACTTTAATACTTCTCTAATTCAACTTGTCTTTGTTCTCCTTTCCACAATTTTCTACTACTGGTGCCTTCCCTGTATGTCTCAAGTTTCTGAATTATCATTGTCCCCTCCTTATAACATACAATCCAAGTCTATGATCCATATATCTCAAACACTCCAATCTGACTTCCCCAAGTTTCTAATTCTTCTTAAAAAGAAAATGGAGTTGGGAGGAGACTATGGTTTTCTTACCTAGAGTATGCATTCATCAAAGTTGCTGCAGTTGTCCTTTTTGCTGCCCCCTTCTCCAAAATCTGATAGACTTCATCTTTGTTGTGTACTGTAATTTCTTCTAAACCTTTGATTATCACTCCCCTCTGAGCAAAAGTCAAAAAAGCAACCATTAGATTGGTTAAAATAAAATAGTATTCTGACTTCTCAAAGCATCACACATTAAAATTTAGAGACATTTCTTTCTGAAAGACTAGTTACCTTATTCCGGGGATCATCAAACATTTGTAGTCGCTCAGAAACATCAGTAGATGGATTAAGGAGATCAAAAAGTTCTTCATTATAGATTTCCAAAAGAGATACTTTGACTGAAAATTCAGTACCATTTTCAGTAAGTTTCTCAAAAATTTGATGAAGGGTCCGTGGGATTATGCCAGCCAATGGATCCTGAAATTATAATATCAATAAGGATTAAACTAAAGAAAGAATACCATTCACTGTGGCAGTCAAACACAGATAACAATTTGCGAAAGCAAATTAAAACAACAAAAAAAACTAACCTCATTTAGCAAAGCCAAATCATGTACAATAATCTGTTCAATATTAGTTATACTTCATACCTTCCACAAATCTAAACATACCTGTCAGCCAGCTTACTCCTGAGCATTACACGGACACCACCTGAACCAAGCTACTTACAAAGCCAAACTCAATAATCCTCTCCATCTTTTAATCAGAGGATGATTAGAATGGCCCATCTAACAGTATGCTCTTTAATTCTGATATAAACCAAGATGTTTCTCAATATTCAAGTTATCATTAAATTGCTGTTATTGTTGTTATGTGCCATTGAGTGGGACCCGACTCATAGCAACCCCTCCTTGGGTTTCTGAGGCAGTATCACTACAGAAGTAGATTGCCCAACCTTCCTTCCGAGGAGTGGCTGGTGGGTTTGAACTGCCAGCCTTCTGGTTAGCAGTCAAGTGCCTATGCTCTACGCTACCACATCTCTAAATTTTGAAACTGTGCTTTTAATCTATTCCATATCTCCTATAGTTATAGTTCAATAACTTTATATCATCCATTAGTAAAGTAAGTAACTGTTTCAACTATGTAACTACTAAAAAAAAAGGTTCTACCTAAATGTTAGTAATTTGGAAAATTAACTTAGTCATTAACCTCATTTAAATTTAAACACATTTGATGGAAATCTTTGTGACGTATACTATATATTTTCTATATTAAATAATAATCTTAACTTCTTGAAAACTCAAGTTCATTAATAAAAGTGCTAAACTGTCCCTGCTGTACTTTTTGAAACTCATTCCCTCACTATAAAGCCCTTTCTCTCGTGCCCTATTTATACTTCACTTTCCCATAAAATTCTGATTCAACTATTTTGTCTCAAACACCCTTCTCTTAAAACTTAACTATGCCATATACATTAATTTTCTCTCTAGAAGAAACAGGATTCACATCATACACTTTAATTTTACTACAATAATAGTTTATCTGAAATTCATGTTTGACATGGGTATTCTGATCTTTTCTGTTTCAAAACAGAGGCCACTCAAGTTTTATTCAGTTAAATGTTAGCCCGTATTAGAGACAGAAGTCTGTAATAAACAATAAATACCTCCTCCCAAGTATACTGTTCATTGGGTGACCTTTCACCTTCCATTGTAAAGGTTTTTCCAGTGCCTGTTTGGCCATATCTGTCAAAATCAACAAAAGTGGTCAAAAACAAATACATCTATCCAAAACTTTTCATCAATCTGAAAAAAGCGTTTGACTTACGCAAAGATAGTGCAATTATAGCCCATAATAACTTCATCCAAAATTGGACATACAACACTTCGGTAAACATCAATTTGCTTAGTGGATGCTCCAAAAACCTATCAAAAAACAATCAAGACATTCTTAAAGTAACTTCAAAATTACCCATTTTCAAAATTTTTCAAAATTACCCATTTCAGTAATTTTATTTAGCATATTAATTTGCTCAGCCCCACTAAAAACCATTTGGCATTTCAAAGAGTCAACTGAAATTCATACTTGTACACCTATTACAGAACCCCTGGGTAATATGTATACTAGGAAGACTTTGGATTAACAATTAAGAAATAGCACCATTTAAAATAGAAATTAAGTACCATATCAAAAGTGTATGTTTTCCTTGAACTCTTGTCGGCCAATCCTGCAGTTCGTATGCTAATTTCTTTTCGTACATGATCACATTCAACTACAGAATGGGCGTTAAATTTCCGCTCTGCCAAATTAAATGGTCTATAAAAAGAAACACACAAAGTTATTTAAAAACTCTTAATTACCAGATCATCTATGACATTTTCATTATCTATGTTAGACAAGTAAGAACAATGTGAAGTTCTGGCCACTTTATACTACTGGTGGTGAAGATTAAATGACACTACTAAAGCAACAGCAGACTTTTAAGGGTCTCAATTCTCAAAATTTAAATAAGGGAGGCTGGGCAAGATGGCGGACTAGGCAGAAGGATTGCACAGACCCTCTTCAACAAAGAAAAGGGAAACCAATTA